CATTATAATCTATGTAAAATAATATAAGAATTCTCGTCCTATCTTAACCCATCAATACTTAAAATTATAATTTAATTTACATATACATTTATAACCAACAACAATATATCATGGGTTAAATGAAGTGAATAAAATCATTATTTTATTAACCACTTAATTGTTGAGTAGTTTTTTTTAATCTGACGTACTGTTCATAAGAATTTCAATTTTTTGAAACGCAATTTAATAAAAAATCCTTAAATAAATAAGCGTAAGAAATAAGAATTGCGTGTGACAATTAAATAGTCAATATTATTATAATTATTATGAATATAAAAATACGATCAATTCATACACACACACATATTACATAGGTATTTGATAAAAAAAAGCTATTGGCATAGGCACTGCAGAATATATAGGTCCGTTGATAATTTTATGATTGGTTTATTTTGATATTGTTTATAATATATTTAATTTGTTTTAACTATAATTTAAGTTAACTTATACGTATAGCTAATTATATTTCCACGATTTATTTTTACAGTGCAATTTATCCGAATGGCATTTTAAAATACTATTTCTAACTAAATTTATTATATTAAATTAGTAGCTAAATATAAGTAATATTATTTTAATATCATAGTAATTATGATGTTTAGAGGATAAAATTATAGAAAGATGCTAGCAGATACAATATTGAATTTAAAACGCCATCAAAATAATTTTATTCAGTTGAAATACAAAATCAAGAGGTCGTATAAAACTAAGTTAAGTCGAAAACTATATCACATAATACAATATTAGTTTGAAATATTCATAAATTTCTTATAAATATAAAATTAAAACAATGTTATTATACTTAACTAACCACTCAATATAACCTCCAGTAATACTGAAATATTATAAGTTAATTAAAATTTACATCATTTGACCGATAACGTAAATTTCAACTCTTTTATAATCGATAACAGCAATTTATAAAATAAACATCTATATATATAGTGCCTAATTTATACTATTCTTATTTCTTAGTAATAATCACATTTTATTATATCCTTAAATAAAAATTAAATGTATACCTAGTTAAAATTTTTTTACATACTAAACCAGATTTCTTGTTTCAATTTAAATTATTCATAAAAAGTTTGTTATGGTTAAAAATTAATGAAATTAAACAAAAACTAAAAAATATAAAGTATTCTTCTATAATTTTTAACATAGGTATTCAGGTCAGCGATATTTAGTATTTTTAAAGGGAAATAGAAAAATGTATTCACTATTAATCTTTTACACCTATTGTTACTTTTTTGTTAGATATTAATGGTAAATTAATTTACTAATGGAAATATTTTATATTTTATACTTAAATTAAAATATTCCATATACTTTTTTATAAACCTACATATTTATTTATTTATATACACCGAGTTCAACATTTCAAAATTGAAATTCTGATCTATTCTAAGAACATAATATATTACTCTTATCGAGATTTTTTTTTACTTCCATTATTAAAAAACACGCCAAATTATGATCACACTCGGCAATTATTTTATATTAGTGCTATAATGTGTCTCTGAGTACTAAATGTTATTTTATAATTCGAGTAAATCATAAAATCTGATGATACATATATTAAACATAATATCTGAAGTACATATTTTGCGAATAGTATTGAAGGTATAATGAAAATAGTTGGTATTGAATTATATAAATTTATTTATAGTTATATTTATAACTTAAATGTTTGATGTTTGATTGGTTGATAATTATCTCGATCAAGGTTTTTTAGAACTTCAATATATCAAATAATTAAAACAAAATGTCAGCTATATATTTCACTATGAACTATTAGTATTAAAGAATACTAAAATTACAGGAATAATTTAAAAGTTTTGAACTTTTAAATATTTGTAAATTGTAACAGCATTATTTTATAATTATAAAATATTTCAATTATAAATGTTAACAAAATACCGAAATATTTCATGATTGTCCATTTATTAATTAGAAATGTAATACTTAACGGTACTTACATAATTTATCAAAATTGTTTTCTCGTAAATATCTGTAGATTATAAAATAGTAACATAGATAGAAATATTCAAACTATAAACTAAAAATCTCGTTATCATGTTTACTCATTAGGACAGCAATAGCTTCTGAAATCTCAGTCTCTTGCATCCGTTCCTTCATTGGACCGATAGATAGGTACTACTGCAATACATATTCTCACCCCTCAATATAACTACCATCTCGGTACATAATTTATACCACGGAAGTGCCTACGGTAAAGTACCTTTACTACGATGGTTTAATTTATCTGTAAATTATTTCTCTGATCACGAGAAAGCAAAAATAATCGATTATTCGGTCCCACTAGTGTTTACGCAAGGGAATAATAAACAAAAATTAAAAAAAATGAAGTACACACTATTTTTCACCTACACAACACACCTACCATCGTTGTAAAAATAATGTTTGTTTTATAACTTACAATAATTAATAATAATAATAATTTGAATAGCATATATCATCTCGAGTATTATCTATTCTTAAAATCTACGATCATACATTCTTATATTTTTATAAAAGTTTATTATACCTAAGTATTATTATATACTTAAATTATTTTAAAAAATCAAACATTTATTTTAAAATAATAAAAAACAAATAACAAATTATCGATGTATCATAGTAAATCTGTATAAAATATTAGTATATCGATACTTATTAAAAAATGTCGATAAGAATTTTTAAGCGTTTTATTCCTCGTTTTATACACTATCCGTTTTTGTAAAGAAATCTAGAAATGGATCACCCATTGAAGTAGTAATATCACACTCAGAAATTTTAAAAGGAGTGTCGAGTAATCGTGCGTTATTCGATGAGTCTAGTTTAATGTTTACAAATAATATCTTACGTGTATGATATCAAAATAGACCCATCAGCCGGCGCTATAAATGAGTCACGCAATTGCAATAACAACGTGTTTATAAGTCTCATGATTAAAAAATACGTGAAATATCTATTTAAGCAGTTATTGATGGGAATAAAAATAAATTTAAAAGTCTCAGTCAGGATCACTAATTAAAAAAGTTCCGATGTATTTCCGTAAAAAAATATATATTTTTAAATATTTATTTTAATGAAAATTATACCCCTGATGGTTTTTGTTGGGAAAAATATTAACACTTAATTGAATAACAAATTCTACTTAAGACAAAGTTAATAAATCAACACTGTGTTAATGTCAATAGGTAATGAAAATGGATGAAATTGATTAATTATGTAACAAACAATTCATAATCTTGCGAGTGTTTACGAAATATTTTGATATACATAAACTAAATACACACAATTAGCATATAACTAAGCACATAAAAAATTTGAATCTTTTTTTCCAGGTTTTAAATTGACAGCACCACGGATAGACTAAGAAATTTGAAGCTAGTTATACTTATAAAGACTATAATTACAACTTGTAATAATAAATTGAAATTTATAAATTATAATCGTTATGATAGATGTCTAATGTCAACGAACAACGAAATATAAGCTCGCAAATGGTTCTAAAACAAACAACTATACGAAGTCAAATGTCTGAAATATATATTTAAATATTTAAAAATTAATTTCTGTACATGTGTGCGAAAAAACAATAAAACGAAATACCTAAACATTTAAAATTTCGAACTAGTCATTCATACAATTTCATTCAAAATATTTGTAAGTTAACTCCGACACTGTGATTAAGGCACTCAGTGTTTTCTAACTACATTATATGAGCAAATTACTTCTTGATATAACAAGACATTTTATTGTAAATTATGACGTATCTTCTAAACGTTTGGTAAAGTTTAAAAGGCATTATCGTCTTTGATAGACAGTATCGTACGATAAATTTGCTGATCGGTTGTTTTGATATTTTTCAAAGCGATTTAATAATATCGCACTAGAGTAGGTGCGATCTAGATCGTGGTTTCACGATAAAAACGTAATAAATCGAACGAAACTCGCGCGCGATGGTCGACGATTTCTCGTCGGAAGTGCGGAATAGCGAAACATCCTTGTACTTCGAAATCCGAATCCGTATTATATTTCTTTTCAGTGGTTAAAGACGAAGTAAAGTAAGCAAATGTTTTGTGTTGCCTTTGCGTGAAATTAAAAAGCAGCGAAGGAAAAAGACCTGCGTTATGGGAACAATTCCATTTCACTCGGACAGTTATATTATTGTTATTATTTACGGCAACCGTATCACCAATATCATAATCTTCGCCTAGAACACGTGCACACGGAAGAAGACATTTGCACCAGTACCTACTACCACGGATACCTACTACTGCCGCGTAATCACGCGAGACTTATTGATTCCGGCTGGACTAAAGAATATTGGCACGATAAGATAGATGTTTGCGCGTCGTTGTCGCCGTGAGAGCGGGACGAAGAAAAAATTACCAAGTGCCAAACCGGTCGTCATCAAGATGATAATATTATTGTTTTAAAATATTCGTTGTTTCGAGGGCGCGCGTTCATTTTACACGAGACGTTCGTACGCGTCGCTAACAACTATAGTAGTACCGGTTAGTACCGGGATAGCAATCGAGAGAAACGACGGACCTGCACCGTATGAAAATACAGAATAACTAAACAATTTAAAAAAAAAACGTGGCTTTAAAGGAGGTATTTGATTTCGTTGTAGCCGTAGTCGTACGTAGTGCGTGTGAATTTAGGAGAGACTGACCGGAAACAGATATATCCCTCGCGGATATGTTCGTTTCCCTGTTCGCGGCTGATAACCAGTATCACTGCGCGCGAGTTTCATTCGTACTATCACATACCGAAGATGTCTCAGGTATTAGTTATCAAGAAAAATCGTACCAGAGCAGGTGTAGTCGGCGGGACAACCGAGGTGGCGATTGACAAAACCGTGGGGAGCCAGGAAAACGACCGGAAGAACCGGCTGACGGTAGCCGAGCGATCTTACGCGATATTACGGTATCGAAGGGTCTACTTACGTTTTCGGTGTTACTATTTTTGAATCGCGCCGCGCGGGGTGATCGTTCGATCCGGTGCTCCTAGGGCTCGCTCACTGTTTTGCGGACTTGACGCTTTGACGGGTACACGGTGTAGCTGCTTTACGGGCGTAATTCGAGGGCGCACGTGAGCCACCGCGGTCGGCGAGATGCGTGAACGGCAACGGTTGATAACGGAACGGCGTTACGGACGTGTGACGTTAATGACACAGCACCAATGCACTGCATTCCGATCGGACTGCTACTGAGCGGCGACCGCGACGGCGTGAACGCGAACGGTGCGTGCGCACGCGTCTTGCGACCGCGCGCGACGTGTATTCGAGACTTGAGTGGGCGGTGAGTGGGGCGCGTGCACAGCCGATATAGTCGCGGGTCGAGGAGGGACCAGACCGGTGTTGCCAACCACGGGCCGACGGAACACCGTGCGCGCGGCGCCCGATAATGTAGTGCACAGCCGTCCGACGACGGATTTCTTTTCGCCCTTTTTTTCGCGACCCTGCGTTGTAGTATTATCATCGTACGCGGCGCTCCACCGCCGATCACCACCTGTCGTCCGCCCATAGCGTCGCGCCGTAGTTCCTACCCCCGACGGAAACACACGTGCACGACGCCGATAAAATATTATCGTACGAACAAAACGCATTCATGATGACGGAAAGAAAAGGTGCGAGCGCGTCGACGCCAGACCAAAGCGTCCGTTTACACGTACGGTTCTCGGTGTATCTGCACCAAACATGTTGAAACCGTTTTCAATTTTAAAGATCCTCCTTAGAGGCCCTCGGACCGTCCTAATCATAATTTGTGCTATGAATTATATCGTGCGTGCGATTCCGATTGAATCGAACAACACGATAAACGGATAAATAGTTCAAACAAACCATTAATACCAAAAGTAGGTATGCTTTAAAAAAAAATAGTGATTGCATTATTTAAACCGATTTATGGGTAGATTGGTTTAATTATCCAGTAGATAAAAATGATAAAAAACACAAGTGTAATAAACAAAGCGTGAAACGTTTTGAAAATATTCGCGGTTCTACGTCAGTGAAAATGAAAATATTATGTATAATAAAATGTACTCACCTTGGTACGATCTTGATTTGATAAGATTCAATAAAGTATTGTTGACATAGTCGTGCGCAGAGTTTCAAGTCGGGGGCAGTGAATATTTACCGGCCTATATATGAGTATTAAGTTAATAGTTTTAAACTCAAATTTAAGATTCAAACCCTATTTAAAGTTTAAGCACAGAAAAGGTTAGCTTGGTAGCAGTACACTTTTTGGATAACCAACTTATTTTGTATTGAGCATTACCGGTGTGGCGGCCCAACTTGGACCAGTTCAGCCCTTACAAATATATTCAAACCGTCCAGGGGCAACAAGAGCACACCTTACTGCCCCTGTGCGCACGCCTATGATTGTTGATGATATAATATAATACGAGTATGAGTTTCCGTAACGGTACAGATTATAGTGATGTGTATTATTAATTAAATTACTCATTTCATACGCGTTTCATACGTAGGGTGACGCAAATCGATACCGATATCGGCTCGGGGTTAATTGATAAAACCTCGACATCGAATTTACGTTTATTGTGATCCTTTTATTACTAAATTATTGTAATATTGACCCTGAAAATCGAGAACAGGGCAGCGAGTGAAAATATTAACATAAAAAATTAATTATTAAAAACAACCTTTCTTCAGCGTGTTGTCAAAATAATTTTAACGATCTCGAAATGAAATCCATGTGACGCTGCCCATCAATATTTTACAGTAAGTACACCTTACGAGTAACAATTATACAAGAGGACAATGGTGTGTAGCGCGTTAAGTTTGTGTAAAAATGCTTGGAGAAAAATCGTCCTTTGCTGTAGCACTCCGTACGCGCGCACTAAGTACTGCGTTATATTATATTGTTGGTAATCGCCAATCGGTGTATTATTATTAATATTAAACGAACAAAAGATGAAAAGAGTTCAAACAAAATATTACGGGCGACCATAATAGACGAGTGCAATTGGACATATTTTTTTTTCATAACGGAGTACAAGCCTTTATTGTGCTATTGAGTAAATGAGCGTGTAAATTGTACACATTAAATTAAAATGAGTTTGTCCGAGTAAATATTCGTATTAATGATTATAAAGGGGGACCCATGGGCGGAAATTGTATCAAATATTCATGGTCGGTTTTGTCGATCACAATTGCGCACGTTACAGAACAATATTTGTCCGATAAAATATTACGTAAGCTTTTTAGGGGCGTGGACCTTACTTAACTATTTAAATCGGCAAAAAAAGAGCTCCTCAGCAGTAAAAATCTGGCTACGGTAACGATTTGTGCTGTACTTGCCCGCCAGCAAATACCATTGATTATAAATACTATTAACTGTATAAATTGTACTCATTATTCATACTGCTAGTGCTCAACATATTGCTGTATACAAAATCAACGGCCTGAGCTCGCATACCATAATATTTTTACTGCTTGTGACAATATGGGTGTGTGACATTCTTATTCTTACGCGACGTTTGCTAATCGTTTTTTCCATTAAAATTTCACGACAATTGTTTTGTTTATTTTTAATTTGCGTTCGCTTGCAGTGTTTTTCATCTACCGCTTTTTCTACACATACACCTGTAAGACTATACATGTGTGTTTGTGATATTTATTAATTGTAATAATTAAAATGATGAAGTTTGAAATTATATCGAAAAATATAACAATAAAATATCCACCTAATTTGAAGGCAATGCTTGTATTGGTAGTAAAGCGTTATATTTAACGTAATATTACGAGATAAATGTATACTTAAAAAATAAATTCAACACAGAATAATAAATAATAAAGAATAAATTAATTTTATCACAATTTTTGCAAATGTTATAAGTACTAAATTCATTTTGCAGTATTCTACACTAACAGGTGAGCTTTGGTGGTAAAAAAAATATAGCAATTTTTTTATTTTATTTATTAGTAATTTTAATATTCCTAATTGTAAGGAATTAGGTGTTTTTTTTTAATTTTTTTTAATAATGTGATCAGAATCAAGTTGATGTATTTAAGATCAAGATTGATCAGTCTTCGAATTTTTGATCAAATAATGTTTGGAAATAATTCGTCATGGTACGCATGATTTTCTCGACGACATCAAGTAATAACTGTCTGCCAAAAACATTATCTGGAAATTAAATAAATTGACCTATATTATACAATTTGTATATTAATTACAATTGGCGCTCACCACCAGTACTCGTATATTACACATACGGCGTATGAATATTAACTAGCTGGAAGAGAGAATTCTTGTGTAATTTAAAGCTGAAAAATCTTGTTTTGTTTTCCATAAATGTGTTTTGGAACAACGTATAGGGAAGTAGTACTTATACCGTAAGTAAATCAAATTCCGATACTTCTACTATTAACATATCTTATAATATCGTAAACTGCATAACAATAACGTCAATAATTATTGCATAGGTACATTATTCATAACAAATAAATACATTTAATTCATCGTTTAGACTGTTAATGTTTCCTTACTTAGTTTATTTACAGTTAATTGTGTTACTTGTTATTATCGTGATTTTTTAACGTGAAGACGTAATAAATATCATTAGTTTTAACTTTTATACTTATATATAATAATACTATATGTTTAATTAAAAGTATTTTGGCACCTACGACGACGCTTCTCGGTGATTTCATACTGTGCGTTTTACGATTGATTCAAATATCTAAAATTAGTGATAACACGAATATAGGTTTTTTCCCCGCGACACACAATTTACTTAAAATAATTAAAATTATTAATTTTTAGTCAAACAACTTTACGGAAATGCATCATAGCTCTTACCAAAACACTAATATTTGTTAGGAACACGTTATATTGGTTGTTAATTATTATGAGTATTCTCATGAGTCACAAATTTTTGGATAGTAATAAAAATTCTAAAAAAAATGCTGGCACTAAAATGTCTCTTACACAAATTCCATTTTACCTACTTTCCATCTGACCGCAATATACAGGGTAGTATTTTTTAAATTAATTATATATGGTACATAATGAACTATTTATATTGCGAGAAAATAGTTGTCATTTTTTTTGATATTATTTTTGATACTTAGGTACACAATTACTTTAAACTATTGTCTTGATACATTTTCAAGTGGGTCATTGTTTCTACTACTTTTGCACGTCATCAATCTATAATATCGATCAATAGTCTATTAATTAAATACTAATCATAATAGTTTAAAGTTTTAGACTATGGGAATATAAGGATACATATAATCTGTTTTCTCGTGAAATCCCTGCTCAACTCCTTCAGTTTAAACTTAAAATAATTATAATTAATAAACCATTAATGACCAATATCAGATGAATGCACATCGTAATAATCAAAAAACTTAATAAAAATGGTTCCCAAGAAAATGTATATTTAAAACCTGCAAATACCGCAATGCCGGGTGATATTTCAACGTTTCACTCCATAATTTATAACCATGTGGTACACTTAATAGCAAGTGATTATTTGAATGTGAACTCGATGTATGAATTTCAATCTATGACTTTTAAAAACGGATCATATGGTGTTGTTATAGACACGAATTAGGATAATGGTACGTTATCGATAGGAAAAAAATCATGTAATTACGAATGCTTTCTGAGGAAGAAAATTAATTTGATTCACCACCAAAAACGTCATTCTGTAGATAACACGTGTAGTGTAAAAATGCGGACGAATATATAGTAGTACTTCGCGTGCATTCAAGCGAAAATTGTATATATTATATTATACAATACGAGAACGAGATATTATATTCGTGGTGACGTTCTACGGAATATGCATCAACGATGATGTTGAATGAAAACCGACCGAACAATGAAATATTTAAGTAGGCGCACGCATACTTTGCATAATGCATTTGAAGAGGAATGAAATGAGATGGATAATGCTGGAAGGGTGGTGGTGAAAACGAAGACGAAAGAGGAAGAGTGGGCGACCGGAGGAGTGATAGAGGTTGGATACGTGATTGAAAGGGATTGACGAGGACACCAGGCGTGCGTGGAGGTTTCGTCGAGAAATTGCGAGGTTTTTGCGGACGGCCAGTTTGACCTGCCTCGATTGGTTGAGAGACAGGACAGATCGGAAGAAGGCATACTATGAACTACCGAATAATTTGATTCGTACGAGTTATCAAGCGAAAGTTGAAATCATAGCATAACACGAAAACGCCGAAACTCGGTTTGCCAGTGTAGTTTATTGTGTTTATGGTGCGGTTATAAAAGTATA